GTTCTTATGTAAAGGGGTCTAAATGGAAAATTTTAGCCTAACATGTTCTTAAAATCTGTTCTTATACGCGGGTTTTTACTGTAATCAAAACGATTGCTATTGTTTTTCACAGGATTAAGGCCCTTCAGACCGAACCCTACTCGCAGAAGGAAGCAGACGCAGCAGCAGGGATGGGTTCCTATCACCTTAGACAGAAGGTTGACGTGAAAACGCAAGCGTTGAAGTCGGATCAGGCGGCAAAGATGGATGAAACAGAAACGACATAGTAGAGTCTGCTTCCTGCGCATCCGTCGAAATGTACGTCTAGCTAACATGTGCATTATTATAGAAATCATATGGTTTTTCATTCATGGTTTATGGGAAAAGGGTTATGAAAATTGTTTCATTCATCTTTTTAATTCAGTAAAATTTTCAAGGTCGACATTTATTATACTATAAGCTTGCAAACTGCAAAGTTTAACACGACTTGAGCATACATAGATAGCCAAGTGATGTCACCTTATTGTATATGAACTGTCTAGATATAAGTGGATGAGGCATTCATGTTTGTGTACTGATATTGTTAGTTATGCTGGTTACCAGTTAAAATAGTGTATATAATATATGTACATACATGCTGAAAGCACCCGGCCTCACTTGTTGCCGATGTGCAAACCTGATTTAATAAGATGCACAAGCACTCGTTAGTACTGTAGTAAGAATTAACAGTAGTCTTTGTTAGGAAAATTGTGACAAATTAGCTGTGTATGCAGATGTGTGTTGGCATTGTATGGTGATGGAATGTTTTTTCTCTTAATGTATGAACACCTGTAATATAGAAAAGATTTTTTGGAATATTTCAATTGATGATTTGCATATTGATTTTTATGATTACATACTAATTAAATTAGAAAAAAAATCACGTATATGCAGTTTTTGTAACCAACAAGATTCTATATTCACATGTGTGTAATTTAAATACATAAAACAACTTGTTTCCAGGACTATTACACGCAGTATATAACATGCCGATAACCTAACCAACGAAAATGCAACGCGCATAAATGAAATCTAATCTGAATAATTACACGTTTGGCATCTGCCTGATGTTTTGGCTGGCGAGCTATTGTTTAAGCAGAATAAAAGAAATGGCAATGTAGCTTTTACGCGAATCCAGCAGTGAAATACGAGTTTTGCTGAACCTTCCAACACCAAACAGTGCCCTACACGTGATTTCTGCAGTCTTTCGTTTAAGAAAATTGTAAACTTCGCTATCGGGTCTAAACCGGGGGTAAAGGCTGGTTTACGGCGCGGTATTTAGCAGGGCAACTAACTTCACATGTAAGCGATAGAGCGAGGCCACGCAATTAGCTATCGACATCCTAGACGAATACACCTCCCTCTCCTCTCCTAGCAGTGAGATATTCAGACTATGCAGACTCACAGACCACAGCTACGCTATTACAACGCTCGTAACAGCGTACATCTAGCAATGAGAACACTCACAGACCACAGCTACGCTATTACAACGCTCGTAACAGCGTACATCTAGCAATGAGAACACTCACAGACCACAGCTACGCTATTACAAAGCTGGTAGTTGCCGCCATCTCATAACGCGATCCACTCGTCCAGCCGCGTGTTTTACTGTCTAATCGATGTAGAATTAGACGTTAAAAAACTGTGAGCGACGGCTAGAAGTTGATCGCCTTTCCAGCGTAAGCGGCGAGGTTGGCTTCCCTGAAAGCCTCCGAGCACGTCTGAAAAGAAAGACAACAAAAGAACGTTAACTCAGAACTCTTAGAACACTAACGTCGTTAGACGAACGAATCGAATCTCCCAACTCGCTGCACCGCTCACGCTCTCGCTCGCGCTCTCGCTCGCGTCGAGTCGTCACGGCAACGCCATATCAACTTCGCTCGCCGCGAAGGCATCACGTCGGTGGTTCGATTGAGCGTGGATAGGTGGCAGCACTTACCGGGTGGGCGTGGCAGACCCGCGCTACGTCTTCGCACGAAGCTCCGTATTCCATCGCCAGCGCAGCTTCATTGATCATCTCTCCGGCTCCCTGAACACGAAACAAACAAACACGCACCAGCATGTAGTAACGTTACGGAAAGAACGTCCTTGTAGAAACACACAGCGGCTTGTAGTGTCGTCTTCGCAAGACCTTAGTAGCTTGTTATTCATAATATACATATATTTATATAGTTTAGATGTTTATTAGTCCGTGCTAGCATTATCAAAAGTAAACACAACTGGAAATTAAGGCATGCCGATGAGAAAATAACGACTAGGCGTTTAAGGCATGTTGGAGAATTTATCGGATTTTGCCAATTGGCTTAAGCTCCGAAGGCATGTCAGAATTTGAAGGGCATGCGTTAAATGACTGGGAAGAACCAATGTATACGTCTGTAGTGCAGCGATGCGATAAGAGAGAGAGGAGGTGTATGACTCACCCCTCCCATGATGTGTGCGCCGAGGATTCTGTCCGTCTCCTTGTCACCAATGATCTTCACAAAGCCGTCCGTGTCAAGGTTCGTCTTCGCCCGAGAATTCGCCGCGAACGGAAACTTGCCGATCTTGTACGCGACGCCCTGCCAACGACAGACACACGCGCGGTCCGTTTACCATTCATGCTGAACAAAAAGTGGTCATATGACCTAGCGGCGTTGAATGCTGATCAAAGTGCATGGGGCAGCAGTGTAAGGGGCAGCATGGGGCAGCAGTGTAAGGGGCAGCATGGGGCAGCATGGGGCAGCAGCAGTAGGGGTCCGTCGCATCTTCTCACCTCCTCCTTGAGCTGCTCCTCGCTGCGTCCGACCCACGCGACCTCGGGATGCGTGTAGATCACCGACGGCACGCAGTTGTAGTCGATGTGCACCGCGCCTCCCTTGATTCCCTCCACACACAGCATGCCCTCGTCCTCCGCCTTGTGCGCCAGCATCGGTCCCTCGATGCAATCCCCGATCGCATAGATGCTGCGGTAACGAAGCGACGCGTTAACGACTCGTTATCGACACGCCGCGTTAGCAAGATGCCTTGTTGACGTGCCTCGTTAGCGACGTAAATTAATTAGTAAAGTAAACAGTGACGTGTGGCGACAAGCCTGAGCATCTTCTCTCAGCTCGTTAGTAACAAGTGGCCATTCGTGGCCCGCGTGCTAACAGACAATAACAATAACTAGCTATGTTGGACATGCTAGCGTCGTCGCCCAGCGAGTCTTACTTTGGTACAGACGTCTGGAAGCGCTTATTGACTGGCACCCGACCCTTCCCGTCCAATGTGATTCCCACACTGTCCAGGCCGAGTCTCTCTGTGTACGGTCGCCGTCCGACGCAGACTAACAGTACATCACACTCCAACTGTAGCAGTGAGAAACATAATTACAGATTAAGAGTAAAATCAACTGTAGCAATAAGAATTTGATGTAGAGATTAAACACATAATTCAACTGTACTACCACTACCACTACCACTACCACTACCACTACCACTACTACTACTACTACCACTACCACTACCACTACTACTACTACTACTACTACTACTACTGCACTAACCCTTTTTTTACACTAACGTGTTTCACTAATCACTGTCATGTGATCAATAGCCAAGACTAGCTGCCCTCATCAAGGATGCTAACTGATAATGATGGTTTTCAAACGTTTAAATAGCTAACTGCATCCAATATATCTAACTGAGTTATCTATCACGTTATCTGTGTTAACGAGCTAACTGCATCTAACATAACTGAGTTATCTATCACGTTATCTGTGTTAACGAGCTAACTGCATCTAACATATCTGAGTTATCTATCACGTTATCTGTGTTAATGAGCTAACTGCATCTAACATATCTAACTGAGTTATCTATCACGTTATCTGTGTTAACGAGCTAACTGCAATCGTGGCCCCACACATGCAACGCCGTGCGGAGCGCTAGCGACGACACATCTAATGCATTTAACTCTGTTATCGGCGTGAATCACGGCGAGTGATTAACGCATCCCCGACGACGGGAACGCGCGAGCGATCGATCCACTCACTTCCTCCTTCTTGTCCGGATTCTTCACTTGCTCCGTCGTCACGACGATCTTGTCTCCCTGACGATTCGCCCCTGTCACCTTCGTCTGCATCTTGAACTTGATACCCTGCTTCTGCAGGATTCGCTGGAAGCCCTTCGCGACCTCCATGTCGATGCCGATGCCGCCGATGTGCGGCAGAAACTCGATGGCTGTCACCTAGGCAACCAACGAAGAAACTTTAATAGAACGCCGATCGATGCGGACTCGCAGCGCGACGCCGCGTTGTCGTCACGGTAACCGATGAGTCGGATGGAATTATCGCGTCGCTCCTCTCAAATTTGTGGAGACGAATTTTTTTCGCAACGATCGAGAGGCATCGCGGCAATGATCGTGATGTTTGATAACGAGAAGACGCGACGGCCTTATAAGAGCATGCTAGATCGTGATTCTCCCAACAAGTGGTACATGATTACTGTAAGGAGTGGTTAAAGAGGGGTAAGGAGAGGTCAAGGAGTGTTAGCAAGGAGGCAAGGGCTGGTAAGGAAGGGGAAGCAAAGGTAAGGAGAGGGTAAAGGGTGTTAGGGATGGGATGAGGAGGGTAAGTAAGGGTAAGGATGGGTTCAGAGTGATAAGTAGTGTTAATGGAGAGGTAAGGATAATATTAGAAGTCTACCTGTGAGCCTAGCCTGCTCCACACTGAACCCAACTCCAAGCCTATCACTCCTGCACCAATCACAATCATCTTCTCCGGCACTTTCTCCAGAGAGAGGGCGCCGGTAGACGACACGATCGTCTTCTCATCAATCTGTAGAAGAAATTGTTCGGTACTGGAAAATATTTTACCCTGACGTAAACGTTGTGCAATAACACAGGTACATTGTAAAATAACACGTGTAAACTGTACAATAACACGTGTAAAGTATACAATAACACGTGTCAACTGTACAATAACATGTGTAAACTATACAATAACATGTGTAAACTATATAATAACACGTAAATACTATACAATAGCACGTGTAAACTATACAATAACATGTGTAATCTATATAATAACAAGTAGACACTGTACAATAACACATGTAAACTGTACAATAACACACTATCCCCGCTCACGTATGTATTTACGACTACGAATGCTACCACTTCTCACGCCGAGCACGAAACAAATTCTTGACATTCCCTCGCGTTTCCACCGCCGCACCTCTATTCCTCCGCCGGGGAACGGCGTGACCTCTGACCCCGTGGCGATCATGATGTTCTTCGTCTTGATGACTTCGTTTGTTCCGTCGTTCTTCGCCACGGTCACCTCGTTAGGGCCGGTGATCGATCCGTGTCCCTCCACGCGCGTTACCTGTCAACCAACCAACCTGAGCGTGAGTCGGGGTCGAGGCAGCGGGAGTCACGAAAGACGGGACCGTTCGAGTGCGAATGAAGCGAGCAACTGCAAGGGTGGTCTGGGAGGAATGCTTCAATTGTTTCCTGGATTTTTCCCCAATTATGACAAATAGATATACATGTCTACCTAAAGAGATATACCTCTCTACCTGACGAGATATACTTGTCTAGTTAAAGAAATATAGCGATTACTTATAATTGGTGATGTAGGTGCATGCGTGCGTATGCATGCGTCTAGCCCTAACTATGTGCACAAAATGTACAGCTAATAGTTTAGATGTGTCGCAGGGCGGTCTACTCACTCCGTTTTGTTTGAAGAGGTGTACGATTCCGCCGGTGAGCTGGCTGACTGACGAATCCTTCGCTGCCAGCATTCCTGGTAGATCTAACTCCATGCTGTTCACTGCAGCGAGATAGATTACGGTTACCGTGGAAACCGATTGGTGCGAACTCTTACGACTTTTTCCCGATCGAGTTCGCGTATCGCGATCGTGGAAGGAATCGACGCGAGGATGAAATGGAGCGAGTGATCACCTTTGATTCCTCTCTGTTTGAAGTCGTCTGAGTGCGCTTGGTGGTAGAGATGTGAGTTGTTGAGAAGGGATTTCGATGGGATGCATCCGACGTTGAGACACGTGCCGCCTAGCGTCGGCCATTTCTCTACGTTCACAGTCTGTAAGCAGAGAAACGACAAGTTCACCGATCAACGTGGTATTACTAGTCATACACATTTGGTGTAAACTTATCTCTCACAGATATTAATGAGGACTTATCCATTTAACACATGGAATATATATATATGTATATATTCTTCTGTCCAATTTCACAGAGTCATATATTGATTGATAGACATCCTAGATTGTAACAGTAGTGGCACTGTTTGTACTAAATTATAATATCTAGGGCCATGAGTAAGAAATCATATGAAATAACAAAAGAATAATTAGAATAGCCCCCTTATCGCTATTCACACTACGACTGTGTACACACTGAACGATGACATGGCGTTCTACCTTCAATCCCAGTTGTGCCGCCTTGATTGATGCCACATACCCACCGGGTCCGGCTCCAATCACCACCAAATCAGTGTCACCTACGTGAACGGGAATAGAAACTATTATGCACACGATCAGTCAGCAAGCGTATTTATCATATATAATTCGTGCATGTAGCTAGGAAATGCTAAATGAACGCACGCATCATGTTGATCCCACATGCATGCAAACCCTATAGTATATGAGATACATATAGTAGCATTGCACTCATTATCATTATGCACCTGTTGTTTGTTTATTGGGTTTATCCCTGAAAGTACTCACTACCTTATCACTATATCCAGTGCAGTGGACACCGGCAAGTAAGAGAACATAACATAACATAACATAACAAAACGTATGTTAGCCGTTACCTGCTGCCTCGCTATAAGAGCGGTGTGGAGAAAGAACGGCGATCCAAGGGCGCAGCGACTTTGGAAGGATACCAGCCTGAAACAATATAGTACACGTGACGTGTACTGCGTCGCTCGCACTGCTGCAGGATGAGTCCGTGTTTTTATTAAAATTTGTTCATACTGCCAATGTGAATGAGATCTGAAAGAGTTACAGTTGCTTGACCACGCGATCAAATTCGAACGACACCTTAGAAGTTAGAGTAATGCCCCTGAGTTACCGCATTAAGAAAGCCATTGTTGATGTTACACCTGGTTCAAGTTTGTGAAGCCCAAAAAAATTAGAAGAAAGTCATCCCTATTTAAAGAGTAAGAGTAAGAGTAAGAAGGGTAGTCCAATATTATAATATATTGCTTGTAAACACCCGTAAGAACGCGCATATGCAGTGATTTTATCTTGTGAAATTTTAACTGATTCCATTAGTGGTTTTCACCTGAAAAGAATTGGCGATCCTGATCCGTCTAATTGCCTGCATCTTGGAAAATTTGAGTATATTTATTAGAGGATACAGGTTGATGGACGACGGTCGCCAGCACACCCACAAGTCGCTAACCGATAAAAAAATTCCTTCAAATGTGAGCATTATAAATGTTAAATCATATATATTTCGTAACCAAAGTTGTTAATAGTTGTACAAAACTTGTACTTTAATAGCATTTGTTTTTCTTACTTATACTTGAGATTGAAATCGTAAAAATAGATAATATACCATATTATCGATATGTATGTCTGAAACTTTTATAAATTCGCCGGTGTTCACGAGATGGCGCCACTTCCTTAGCCAACAGAGGGTCGCCCCCAGAAGCAAAACACACGGATACAGTTTTGTTTGTGATGATATAATAAAATGTTTCGCATCAAGCAACTACTGTCGTCCTCTGAGGACAAGGTATGTTAGGGTTAGCGCGGCAAGTCATTAATAGGTGTAAACAGACGTGTGGCCGGTTAAAGGAGAATTCACCAGTGCAATAGATTGCCTTCCGCAGTAGTCAGTACCGTAGTCGTAGTCAGTACAGTCACTATACACACAGTACAGTAGGCCTGAATAAGCATGACACAAAAACTAAAAACACTTAGAGTGTTTCACTGCATGGACATCATACACGTTATTTATGCTAAACGACCCAGGTTCAACGTCCAAACTTCACTCGAAACTTAAGCCAGCGGCATTTATTGCAAATTTCATGTAATCGTCAGTACATCACGTCGGATGTCAGACAGTGTCGGAACTGCACATCGAAGTATGGTTTTCTTTGTTGTGTTACGTCACGCAGGACAAAAATGGAAAACAAACATCGTCTCAGTCTCCGAAGCCTAGGTCCGGATCCCACCCCCAGGGGGCAGCAGCAGCATCTCAGGAAGCATCCGGCGATGAGGACGAAGCAGAGGTAAATGTAATAATAATATCTCTCACACTCGCAGCCTTCCGCATCCCAGCATCCTGCATAAACATTACACGATCAAACCTCTATGTTGCCATAGTGATGACCACAGTCCGCGAAACGAAAACAGTCTGTCTCCTCAAAACCATTTTGAGCACGAATTGCAGTAAGGTACGTGACGGTAGACTAATATGGACAATAATGACGAGTACATATCCAATATGGCGGTGCACAACATCACCCAATCAAAGCTC